AAAGGGTGCTGATCTTCCAAGTTAATTTCATAAATTATGAGGCTATCCATCACATTTTGGCTTTTCCATGTTTTGGAATCTGATGTAGCTATAGCTAAATCCACTCAGGAACGTTAGCACGGATTTTGAAGGCAGGAGATAGCTGTGATGCAGGAAGAAGCAGTTTAGCCTGTTTTCCGAAGGGATGTGGAATCATCATCACTAAAGAGTTAAGTGATGTCAAAAAGTGTGCCTGTTACATGCCGCTGCATGTAAACCCAGGGAGAGTACAGCATTATAATGCCTGCCAGAGCTTCTACTTCTGCATAATACAGACAATTCAGGTGGAGGGGAAAAAAAAAAATATTATTCTGCATTTTCATCTTTTAATAGCATTTTTATATCCCATTCCTCTGAATTACAATGCAAGACATTATAAAGGAATGGACAATCAAGGTCTCTCAATAATAAATTAACCTTTTTGTAAATGACATTGGCGGCACTTGCTGAAATTTCTAATAGAAACACTTCTCTGAGAAGCACCTTGTGGATTCACCTCTGCCTGATAGCGGTGATTTGTTCAGAGCAATCTTGTAGAAGTGGAGCAAAATAATAGGCTGAGGAACGAGCTGGAATCAGCACATCTGAGACAGAGATGTTGGCCAAAAATCTGCTCGGTAGAAGCAAGAAACATCTGAGAGCCTGAAAACAGCATCTAGAGAGTCAGAGAGAAAGCATCTTCCAGCAGCTGTTATCTCTGAGCTCAGACAAGCTGGGCTGTGCGGGGCCACGGAGAAATCAAAAGGAAAAGCTGTCTGGGAGAGGAGAACATCGCTGTTTACCAGCATGTCACCCACCAAGCAACAGGAAACATATGTAGAACACTCATGGTGGGATGCAGGGTTTTATCTCACTTTTATCTTCAGTGAGAGGCGACGCTGAAGTTTAAGAAAAGGACCGTTGCTCCTCCTGCCCCTCCACTATCCATAAAGAAAACTGCCCTAAGTGCTTTCCTCCATCAAAGAGCAAAGCGAGCTGGCGGTGTTATTTCTAAGGGGCTGCCAGCACATACAGCACTTTACAATATACATCAAAAGGCAAGATCCCTTCCTGCAGCAGCCTAAAAACATCACCCACCCCCATAGAGCCGCTAGGACAGCAGTTCGCACACGAGGAGGATACACACACTGAGCTTAGGGGAGGGAGAAGGATTCGCAGGGCACGGAGGCGAGCATGGGACTGGGAACCCTCCTGGCGTGAGAGGTGGCAAGAATGACTCTTTCCTAGTGCTGAGGCACAAATGCCTTTGTGTTTAGCTTGGTTTTAGCAGAGGGAAAAGGAAGAGCCCGAGTAACTCAGATTTCCTCCCCTTACTTTCACTGCCTGTGTGCATCCTAACTTAAACTTTACCAACTTCCAATCCAGAGGGGATGGGTGAGTGTGATCCGCTTACAGTCTCAAAGCCATTCACGTTATTTACACTTGCTTTGCTAATGTCTGGAAAAGTCTAAGTTGGTTTCATGTAAATATTGAGGAGTCAAGAGACTGTGCAGACCAACACGGGGTGTGATCTCTTCTGCCTTACACTTTCTTTTAGCTCCTTAATGCCTGAGTTACTTGACTTACAACTCCCCCATGTACAATTAGATCTTCAGGACTCTGAATGAGGCAAAGTGCTTTTAATGTCTCAGCTACCCTTTTCTGAACTTCTCCTTAGGCTGTATCCAGCAGAAGAGGCTGAAAGTTTAGCAAGTACTTTGCTGAATCAGGACCCTTTAATGGGACTCCAGCTGCTCCGTGGAAGCGCTCAGTTACTACAAGCGTTGTTCTCCCCTATTCCGTGCGTAAGGTCAACTTAGCCCTTCCCCTGTTTCACAGAGGGACTTCTGAGCACTTCCACCTTGTGATAACCCTCTACAGTTAATTCATTAGTAGCCTGTCCCTTTCCAGATTCACAACCCTTTTCTTGCTCTGCACTGAAAAAGAAATATAGCAGCGTATGAGAACATGGCAGGGAGGAAAATCACAACTTCATTTTTTTATCTTATTGATCCCTCTCCTGCAAAAAAAACAGCAGAGCTTTGCATTCTCTGCAAATAGTTTTTTGCCTTCAGCTCTGCGTGTCCCATTACAAGACCTGGCTTGACGGATGCTTGATCAGATGGTCAGTGTCTTTTCTGATTGCTCTCTTGTTGCCCCTCTTCTGATGCTTTGTTTCCTGCTTTCAGCTCCTACCCAGCTTCTCTGAGTGTGGTAAAGCTTGTAGGTCCCCGTCAGGTAG